GGTTGAATTAATGCAATAATATCCTCGTCTTCCATTACTAATTCACCTGCAACCATGTTATTCTCAATATTTAAATATTCGTCCGCTAAAAGTGAATCATCAAATGGGAGTTAGTTAATTAAATCTTGAACTTCACGATTTTCTTATTCAACTTCAATTTCAACATTATTAACTTCAAAAATTCTAATTTTCGTGCTTTTTTATTAGAACATGCGTTAAAGTAGAAATTTCATAGAAAATAGATCGACATTATTTTTAAACCGAATTTTATCCATTATAAGACGAATTTTTAAAACAAGTTTATGATCATATTCGGCTTAGAAAGTTACATTTTTATTATTTGTACAATCCATTAAGTTCGGTTTATCAAGTAAAGTAGAAATTATAATAAAATTCGGCTTAACGAAATAATTTTTATTAAACACGATTCGGTTAATCAATTTTGTATCGTTATAAAGCGAAAATCGGTTTATAGTAGTTCGGTTTATCAAGGTTTGACTGTATTAGTATTAGTTCCAGAATTAGCTTTTAAAAATTTCAAATGCTTCAATTTAGAAAATATAAAACATATAAAACACATGATTTTTAAAACAAAATAACCCTGAGACCAGTAATTTTTTATTATCTCGACAATGAATTGTAGAAGCTATCAAATATTGACTTTCTTTTTTCAGATAAGAATTCAATATTTCCCTATCTAGCTTTAAAGCTGACCAAGATGAGTTAGTGTATGACCCGCACTATAGTAATAATAGTAATTGGAATATTTAATGTTTACACATTTACTAACATTAGATTATGATGTCAAAATTAACAAAGATAAAATCAACGATGCATCGATACGACTACAATTCAGTGTGGAAGAATGGACAAGAGCATTAAAATATACTTTGGCATATCTTAAATGGATTTTAGCATATGCATCATCAATTAAAAATGGATCTGGCAAAAATTAATTCAACAGATTGAATATTGAAATATTGAATAGAATTTGTTTTATTATTTATTTATGGTTTAAATTTTTATTTATTTAAATTTTTTTTTTGTGTGGTAACAGAAATAAATATATTTACTGAATAATGAATATTTTTTTTTGAGTTGTGCCATCAAAAATGTGTTGTCTCTAGTTTTGAAAGACTCACGTGATTCCGGAAACTCATTCTTGGGAACCATTGTGATCAGTTGATTGATCTCTTTGTAATATTCATTAGAGTCGTTTTACATTTTTTCCATATACATATTATATTTTGTGCGAGTTAATTTTGGATTTATTCATCTATG